ATATATATATATATATATATATATATATATATATATATGTAATCATTTTGATTATTAGACATATTATATCTAACCACCAATTGGGTAATTAATTGTTGAATATGTTCAATTTCAGCTGTTCATGTTCTGAATCATGGTTGTGAGAAAACTCATCGATGCTTGTTCATGTTCTTCTCCAAGAAGGGAGCTATAAGTACTCAGTTACAGCATTCCATCTCACTTTCAAATAGTGATAGTAGAAATTCTCTATAAAATAAAATGCTTATGTTGAATGTAGCTGATGTGTTTATATTGTAGCTTGTAGTGGTTCCTTGATAAGCTGAGTTGTTATTGCTAGAAGCTGAGTTTGTAATAGTGCCTTTGTTAATTTTCTTTTGAAAACCTTCAATTAGTTTAAACACATGGGTTTTATATCTTCGTTAATATTGAAGCTTTTATAGTATTATTCTTGTGCGGTCACCTCTTCAAGCATTTTTTTGTCAAGTTTTTCGGCTACAAAGTATTAATTACCTTGTAGCTTATTAAAAATATTGAAGCTTTTATAGTATTTATTATTCTTCCGCGGTCACCTCTTTATGCAATTTTTTTTCAAGTTTTTCGGCTACAAAGTATTAATTACCTTGTAGCTTATTAAAAATATTGAAGCCTATGTACGACTCCCAAAAACTTAAATGTCATCATTATTAATAATAAAAATAATACTTTTGATCTCTCATTCGTAAATTCTTTATAATCTTTCAACTTTTATCGAGAGAGTAGATATTTCTTTTTATCTTCAAATTCTTGAGGATGAAGTATCACTTGGCGAGGTATATATCTTGAGAGTAAGATCTTGCAAGTGTACAAATTAGAATACTACCAAATACGACATTACAAAGATTATTGTGAAAGTCGTGTTGTTCTAAAACCTATGTAAAAATGTGTATTACAATTAAATCAAACAATTTGTGGGGTATCAGAGAGGAGGGCAACATGTCCAAGGAAAAAATGCCCATCGATTACGTATGACCGCAGACACGGTACTTTGAAACTCATTCATGCTCAAAGACCATGAATGATGGTATACACGTCCGTCGCACGTCCTTGTGGATGAGAGTACTAGTATTGAGCATGACCATACCTACTTAGTATTGTGTGTAGGGACACTAAGATAAAATTTGGTATTTTTGAAGTCATCCAAGATTGGGTTGTATCCATCCTTGGTTCTCGTTTTTGTGGGTAAACCAAACTCCTCCATGAAAGATGATGTTTCCAGCTACATCAAATATAAACCATTGAGCAAGAAAACACTAAGTTGCTAACCATTTGAAGCAAAACACATCTGGTATTGCCTTACCGTAATTGTTCTCCTTTTCTTTCCTTTTTTTGACGTATGATCACCATGAAGTTTTAGCCACCCAGAACAATAATGATCTATTCGCTCCAAGAGCCAAAAGTCTGTAGGAAAGAAAATATCAGCGTCACCCTGCAAAAGATAAACACATGCTTTAGTAAAACCATTTATTTTTAGAAGTTAAAGGAAGAAATTGTTCTATGACAAGACAGCATGCGTAATTAGTTCTGTACTCGTGTGAAATGGTAATTGAGCTTAAATAGTCATATGTCGCAAGTGAAAGCAACAAAACGATCCAAAAATTACTATGAAATACTCAATCACTTGTGATTAGTAAGAGAAGGCAAGTAATATCAATCACAGGAAAAACTTTTAAAACATCATTTAATCTTGCAATTTAGAGAAACTTGTTAAAGAATGGTTCTTCTAAACCGCTTTGGCTCGCACTTATATAATTTATTATACTCCCTCGGATGTACATTTGACTCTTAACATCTTTTAACAAATAACAATCTTAAAAAGAAGTGCCTACTTCTTAGGCCATACATGCCATATTATTAAACACAAGTTATCGTGCCATACGAATTTATTGAATAAAATTATTAAATGTAAAACTTCTAGTACGTTCAACGGCTTTTTGTAGCAATTACCTTTTAGCAAATCATGAGTGCCTCAGCATAATTTACAAAATAATACTTAAAACATAGTAATAAATTTAAGTAAGATTGTGTCAAGCAACAAAACTATCCGATATAATGTACGACACTAGACGAAGTGAACAAGTGAGAATAAGGAAAAAAAAGTTGAAAGTGAAAGAAGGTAGAGGTAAAGTGAACCTTAGCCTCCATATAATTGTCATAATCTGTGCTGCTTCCATCCTTCTGCCATTCATAAGGGAAACTCAGTTAATTAAACTTATCTCTAAAGTCTACAAGATGCAAAAACAGATAACAGTGGTTTTGTTAAAATGTATAACAAGAATGTACTTTAGTTGAAACCAAGGGAGCTCTTTCACCAGGTAACTTCACATCTGGCAGGTAGCTGAAATCAGAAGCAATCAAAGACATCTTTGGCAACACCTCATGGAGAACCTCAAGTAATTTCTGGGAAAGAGAGACGATAATAAATGCAAAAATCAATTTATAGGTGAGACTTAAGGAAGATTTAAGAGACTCTTACCAAGCAACCAGTCGGCAACCAACATCTACGTGGTTTTGGGTAAACCTTAGACCAAACGCTTTTCAGTGTAGTAGAAACTGTACTGCTATGAGTTGTGTTGGTTTTATCCATGTCCATGATCTCAACACAACGCGTGATCAGTGAGTCTTGCATGGGCTTGTATAACTCATTGAATGTTTCACTAATAAAGATAAAAAATGATTGGTGATGTGTAATTCTCATTTAGGTTGAGGCCAAACAATAATGTTATGATTTAATAATCACTTAAATGATAAATGAAAACATCTTTGTTCTTTTTTACTTTGTGGCTACTGCCCTTAAGAGAAAAATAGATAATGTTGAAACTGTGTCTTCTTGACTACACATTGGTGTACATTTTGTATAGAATTAACGCAATACAAATAAATATTAGAGATAATATTCCTATTCACATCATATAATAGGCCTAAAATTATAAAGATCCTAATTAAATAAGGAAAAATATCATAGCATAGAAAATAAAAATAAATCCTAACATATCGTCAAGGATACTCCAAAGTACTATTAGGTGTAGAAAAAGTATCATCAAATATTACCTATATTTTTCTAACAATCCCCCTCGGGTTATATCTTAGTAAGCTTTCAACTTGTTGCAAGAAAAACAATTCAATTCTCCACAAATAAAAAACAGTTAGAAAACATAAAAACTGAGTTCCACCAAAAACAATTGTTGGAAAGGTAATTCGGATGCTGGAGAACCGAGAGTGAATTACTACAAAGATGGCGCAGCCAAATAGCTAGAATAATCATCAAACTGAGAAATTTCTTCGCAAACAATCAAGCAAAGCAAGGTCCAACTTCCTCAACCTCATTTGTAATCTTAAATGCAATATAACTGGAGACCCAAAATATTTAAACGTGAAAGTAAGTCTGACAACAACATCTGGGACAGAGAGCTATGCTATTATGAACCATAAATGACAATTCACCATCAAAATAATCATCCGCAGGAATAGAAGTGACTACCCGTAAATATGGTTGATTTGGGGCAAAAGAGCCAATGATCGTGGATGGGAATAGAAGTACTGTAATGACCATTGGTGAGAAAAAAGTTGCATAACAAACACCACGGTAGTAGAAACAATGTTCTAGCCATGCTCATACCAGTAGAGGAAATCTTTATACATAGAAAAAGTTGTCAGGGGATTATCAATGGACTGAGGTGTAGTACTAGAGGAAGCCATGATCAGAAACAAAAGGGCAAACTCCTGAAAGGAGGCAAGCACAATGTGTGTCGCTAGAAAAGTTGGTGCTGGCAAATACCTATTGGGAAAGTCAATGTTGCCGAACAACACTTGCCACATATTTTTGCAGTGGTAAAACAATTAGGACAGCAGAAAAATGATAGTGACATTGAAAAAAGAGACACGATGGAAGAGGAGACTAATTGGTACAGCTCTAATATGAGGGTTTTAAAAAGAGCAAATACAATGCAAGAAATATTGAAACCGTGAGTACACTGTATTGAAGTAATGAAACAAATAAATATACGAAATAATATTCCCATTCCTATGATACGATTAGACCCATAATTACAAAGATGCTGATTAAATAAGAAAGCAAAATCATAATATAAAAAAACATTATCAAGGATATTCTAAAATATTCTAAGATATAAAAAAAAAATCATGAGATATTTGTTAGATTTTCTAATAGCTACTACCAAATGAAGCACTAGAATGTGTCAAGGGTTGTGCACCAGTATGTTCAGCATCCAAACATAAAGCTGATACTTACTGGTCATGTTGCCTCTCAACCCAGACTTCCATCCATGAAGAAATTTGATTCTCTGCATAGATAAGATCATGTGGAAGATTATCAAGTACCTACACAAAGTAAATTAATTGTTGTTAATATCTAAATTATAATAAAAATGCATCATTAATGAGAAAGAAAGCACCAGCAAAAGAAGATTTCCAATTTGCAACATCTAAATACCAAATTTCTTAGCAAAACACACAGAATTGACTCAATTTTTTTATGATGCGTTTGCACTGATAATGGCAGATAGCCAATTGCCAGATCTTAGCTTCTGACAGGGAACTACCAGCTCAAATTTTTAATGCCAAAAACAGTAAAATGGTGCCTTGAACTATGAGAACAGGCTAATCAGGTCTCGGTAGGTTCCCAACATTGGCCATTATCATACATGTATGAATTAAAGCAGCTGCTAGCCATACCTAAATGGTTGATTGCTTGTAGTTGGCCATTACTAATAGCAGTTCAGAGTGCAGCAATAGCAGCTAACAGCCACTATATTACAGGCAGCCAATAAAACAAATATCATACACTGGCAGCACCAAATTTGGGAATTTTAGTTCATTGACATGTACAAACTAATTAACTATTTGAAATCATAATGAAAGTTGAGCATCGTGCAACAGAATAGTGCCCAGTAGCAGCACCATAGCATAACAGCAGAGCAAGGGCCATGGGCAGCTATGGAATTAAAATAGTAGAGTTTTCAATAGTGGCCACGTCAGCCAAAATGTGACTTTTTGTTTGCCATAGTGACACTACCATGATATAGGCTTCTAACCAATTTTATCCCCCAAAACATCATAGTTTAGGGTTTTAGTGGTACAAAACGAGCTTTCTCCCCCATTTTCTAATACATTATTTGCTTTAGAAGAATATGATTTGAAACTTTTCTTTGACCATTTCACAAAGTTTTAGAGCATCCGCTTGAAACAATTGAAATAATATAAAACACACCTCAAGCATTATTACCCAACACGGTTTTTGCTCCA